TCAGAGAGTAGGCAGAGCATGGAGGATGTTCATTATATGCCATTAAAAATATGTAACAATATATTTTGCAGAAACCAACATGACTTCATAACTATTCAGCTACCTAGTGATTGGATTTTACAATCAAATGTTCTATTTTATTTTATTACCACCTGCATTCTCAGTGCTGTTGTGAATACAACAAATACTTACAAATTAAAATGATAGTAGATAAACATAAAAAATACAATAGCGATGAAAGACATCCAAAATGTTTCAAACTTGATTTAGAAAGCTTATATTTAAAATGATCTGATGGTTTCAGACAAAGATCTTATCAAAATTAGTATGTATAATTATAGTCTGAAAGGGAGCAGATAAAATGCTTTTTTGTATCCAAAATGATGCAGGTTTAAATATTGTTAAACAACTTGGTTACAACACTTAATGTTAGTTTTCCCAAGTGTCTGCTCGAATGTGTGTTCAGGTCGTTTTAAGCTTCAGCAATGATAATGGTTTTATATTTGACATTACGCTCCCACCGCCCATCTCATACTTTCTACTCCCACACATTGGCCCAAAAACTTTGATTACTGTAAATGGAAACAAACAATCCTCTCATGGGTTCCCACTGTAGTTACTGGTATACCGTTCCCCGGTGACACAGCAGTTCATCCTAGTTCACTCTCATACTGCTTCAGGCCCTCTGTTTGCTGTGGCCTTTCATTAGCGCTGTTCCACTGCCTCGTCTTAACTAAATGTAATACACATTTATAACTTGTCTAATGCTCCAATTTGATTAGATTTTTACATCAATTAAATGAAATGGTTGGCATGTTCATGTGATTTATAAAAAAATCAACATCCTAGTTATTGAATTATTATCAGTGTACTAAAACACAACAATGGAGGTTTTGATTGATTCTGAACCGAGTCCTTGGAACAAGATGTTGATTTGTTTCTTCAAGATGTACATTGTACATTCTATAAGTTATATATACGAGAGGATTGTGCATGTTTAACAAACTCCTGCAGGCACATGCTTTCTGTCAGCAGGATTCACTTTCTTGTTCTCATATTTTAGTCTGATTGGCCCTCTAATATTTCTGCCCGGCCTTTCAGCATTGACACTGTTGTTGTTGGTATGTGTTACACAGGGAAAGTATGTTTGTAGCAAGTAAAATAGTGAGGGGAAGTGATTGGCGGCATCCCTCAGCGTAAACACTGTGCAGCCTGCTCAGATTTTGTGACAATTTCTACCTGGTGCTTGACTAACACAACTAATTTTGTACGCACCTGTGTGTGTGTGTGTGTGTGTGTGTGTGTGTGTGTGTGTGTGTGTGTGTGTGTGATTGTGTGTGTGTTGTGTGGTGTGTGTGTGTGTGTGTGTGTGTCGTGTGTGTGTGGTGTGGTGTGTGTGTGTGGTGTGTGCGTGTGTGTGTGGTGTGTGGTGTGTGTGTGTGGTGTGTGTGTGTGTGTGTGTGTGTGGTGTGTGTGTGTGTGTGTGTGTGTGTGTGTGTAGTGTGTGTGTGTGTGTGTGTGTGTGATGTGTGTGTGTGTGTGTGTGTGTGTGTGTGTGTGTGTGTGTGATGTGTGTGTGTGTGTGTTGTGTGTGTGTGTGTGTGTGTGTGTGTGTGTGTGTGTGTGTGTGTGTGTGTGTGTGTGTGTGTGTGATAAGTACACTTCCGTTTTTGACCTCTATGTACCACACTGCCTGTATTTGTGTGTTAGTGTGCTGTGTCCATTTGTTTGGGATGTGTACTTGTGCAGTATCAGTACACACAACTGGGTGAGTGACTGAGTATAAGTGCACATGTTTATTGAGCTCTAGTCCAATATGGTGGCGTTCCTAATGAGGCTTGAATCTCCACTGCATGGCTCAGAGCCACACTTGTTGGCTCTGAGCAGGGAGGAGCATGTGAGGAGGAGCAGGGGGTTGTAAATGTTTAATGCAAACACCACCCTGTGGTCATCTTTACATTACCAGCATGTGAAATCATGGTTGGAAAGAATAAAACATTTTAAAATACATTTTTCCTCTCTAAAGCACTTTAAATATGGATTACCTCAATCATAAAAAGAGAAGATCATTAAGTCAATATATCAAATAACAATAATGTATACTACCGTTTTAGCTAATGCAACTCTAATGATCTGAAAACTAAAAAGCAAACATATGCCTACAGTACACGTGCTTCACTTGGTTGGTTGGTGTCATGTGATCGCCGCTTCACTGGCAGTCTTTATTTTTTTCCGGTGACTGGGCAATCCCAAGAGAGCCATCACAGGTCAAGCACTACCCGATAATTAGTGTTCACAACATCTTCACTAGAATCCAGCTTTAAGTTGACATGTAATGAAAGCGCCAGAAAGATGAGCACATAGCAGGACACCATACTCCTGATAACGGAGGTTCAAACAGGGCCTTTCTATAAATACCCTACTACTGCCAGACTGCTGATCCAAAGTTAAGACACATATTAGATTGCATCTGCCAAAATGTGCAGAGTGCCGATGTTGTACAGTCCAACAACAGTGCTTTACTTGTTAGGATAAGGGTGATCTGAGTTAGGCAAATTAACAAACAATGTCATCACTGTGAGAAATTATACAGCTATTTTGACAAATCTTATCAACAACACACTGTTTTCCACTACATTTTCTGTGATGTTTACAGTATGTAGAGGAGCATAGGCTAAAGATGGACATTTCTGTTGAGCACATACAGTATTTTGGTTTGTATATAGGTGACTTAAAAAACAGTTCTAAGTTGTGGGTTCGATCAGTATTGCAATGAGCCATACATAGACGTGTAGGTGTTAGACTTGCATTTTGCTAGGTATGTTGCTGAGTTATGTGTTTTATGTTTGAATGAAGATACAATTATTATTATAAAATAAATGTTATTATTTTACTTTGACTACACAAGCTTAACTGCTTCAGTTTGAATCTTTTAGCGTCTCTGAAAATGCACACACAGATAGTCGTGACTGAGGGTCCCATACCCTCGTTCAGATTGTGAACAAGCTGCTTGCTCCATCTTCCCACTTTGTTGAAGCCAATTGCAAAATAGAGTGATTGTATATTTTTCAAATGACTGCCAAAAGTTTGCTGGCATGGCGTTCTGAATCCTGCCACAAGTTGAAACTGTCTGCATGTGTTGGCTGGTTCAGCATTAAGCTACTGCTAAACTTCTTATCTGGATGAGTGCCTGATCAACCACCTCTACTCCCCCTTGGGCAGAGTCCAATTTACATAAGCAAGTGTCGTCTTTCCACTGACCATGAGCCTCTGGCTTGTGTGAATTTAAGTCCTGCTCGTTTGGGGAGAAAGGCTCCTGGTCTTTGAGACTGACTAACAAGTCCCATAAATATACTCTCTCCTCTTACTGTATGTCAGGCAAAAATGGCTAGTAACTACACGTTTAGCATTATGATACAGCATCGGCATGCAAAGTCATTATCAAGTTTAGCAAGCCGGGCATTGGTACGTGATGCTCAATGACATGCCAATGTAATGTGTGCTGCCACATCAAATAAGGGATTTAATATTTAGGCCCCTCTAATGCTGTTAAATTCCTGTTATGGATTACACACCAGTGTCAGTCTAACTCTAATTTGGAATCAGTTTGGCCCCAACACGCCTCTTTAACATGCGCACACACTGGCACTTTGCCTTCAATACTCCCGACATATTTGGTGCCTGGTTAAGCTTCACACTGCAGTTCAGGTGTCTCAGTTACTTTAAGTCTAATTATAGACAGTTGGGGATAATTGTGTGTGTGTGTGTGTGTGTGTGTGTGTGTGTGTGTGTGTGTGTGTGTGTGTGTGTGTGTGTGTGTGTGTGTGTGTGTGTGTGTGTGTGTGGTGTGTGTGTGTGTGTGTGTGTGTGTGTGTGTGTGTGTGTGTGTGTGTGTGTGTGTGTGTGTGTGTGTGTGTGTGTGTGTGTGTGTGTGTGTGTGTGTGTGTGTGTGTGTGTGTGTGTGTGTGTGTGTGTGTGTAAGTAGCTCTAGAGATTTAAACAATCCTTAATTTACATTGTAACACAATTGGAGGCTTAGAGTGAGATTTAGAGCTTAGTTACGGACAAAAAGAGCTCTCGCTACTGATAGGCTTCATTGAGTTGGACTTTTCTGCTTACACGTGAAGAGCAAAAATAGGAAAACAATCAGCTAGCACAGTAAACAAACATCAACAAATCATTACCTACGTTATATTAAAGTCACGGAGCTTCCTCTGAGTACAACATCACTATCAGTTATATTAAAACGAATGCTTTTCAAAGTGACTTCTCAGGCTTGCCACAATGTTCTTTATTGCAGAAAAAAAGAGTTCCAGATATTTGCCTGTGTAACGGAGGTGATCTCTGGGGCCATAGATCTCGGCCTCCGTTACGGATTCTGTAGCTTCATTGGTAGCAAAGTGTATGTAGTTTGTGCATCTGTCTGTGTTTTAGTTTGTCTGTCTCTGTTTCCTGGTTTTATGTTGAAAAGTGTTCCCCTATCCCCATGTCTGTTGCTGATTGTGTGCACCTGCTGCCCTGTGTTGTCTCTTCCCCCCTCACCTGTCTCCTGTTGGTGTGATTAGTGTGGGTGTGTATTTAGGCTCTGTTGCCCTGTCTGTTTGGAGGCTGGTAGTGTGGTGGCTGGTGACTGTGCGCACAGGAGCAGCAGATTGAGGCTGTGTCATATCATATATGAGTTAATAAATGCCCACACCGGGTTGTATTTTTGGACGTTCTGCCTCTGCCTCCTTGCTTGGTTGGGCCGCTCAATTGTCAGCGTCACAGCCTGTTTGAATTGTTTTTCTACATTAAGCTTACATTCTGTGAGCATAGCCACCATCGTTCTGACAATCAAGCCTTGTCCAGATCAACGTAGAAAAAAGCGGAAGCGCAAACACATAGTTTTCCTATCTCCTAGCAACAGTACAACATACCATCATGGCTGTCTATATCTGTACAGCATATCACAAATATATTTGCTGCTCACCAGTTTTAACACATTTTTCTCTGCATTTCAGCTCTTCACCCAGAGCAGGAGAGACCGGTAATTCTTCAGTGTCGGGCCAATCCAAGCCCAATGGACAGGCTCATAAGATCTGTTTGGTGTGTTCAGACGAGGCCTCAGGGTGCCACTACGGGGTTGTTACCTGTGGCAGCTGCAAGGTGTTCTTCAAGAGAGCCGTTGAAGGTTAGTCTCACACACCTACCTACCTGCATTAACTCACACACTCAGACATGACACATGGAAATACTCTAATTTGAATGATAGTATTTACACCAATCTAAGTTTGTGAACAGCTATATCAATTATGAAAAACTATTGTCATTCCAACTTTAGTTTTGAATGGAGTGGCCACATTTACACCAGGCTGTAATCAGATTTGCATTTTCATGATTGCGTATTCTACAGTCCCGCTCTCGTACATGTGGATCTTATTGCAATGTTCAGCATCCGTTACCGTTATACATATTGTTCCAAGGACTTTCATTCATTGTAGTTATACTGTATATAATCAACTTTTAAAGCTGTTACTCAGCAATGCAAAGTCTCTGCTGTTTCTCTGTTGCAAAACAGTTAATAATCCTATAAAATGGAAAGGTCAGAGTGGAATAGGGGGGGTGGTAGTTGTTGAGCTTTTGCAGACCCACATCATGTTCATGCCTGTATGTGGGTCTGAGTCTTGGTTCTGACCTTGCATGTATCGGCCTCTTGTAACCTTTCCTTTAAGTCCGGTATCAAATCAGGGTTGACTTCCAAGTGATTTTAATTTAATAACATAACATGAGAAAGAAGCCTATTTAAAAATGTTACTTTAATGATACAATTAAGCCTTATGGAGGAATAGTATTATAATGGCCTTGTAAGACAGCCATTCTCCTGTTTTGTTTGCCAACGTTAAATATTTTGGTTGTTGCCAAAGGCAGTTTGTGAATCCAGACGCTTGTCTTGAATCTAATTCCCTTGATAAAATCCTGAGCAGGGAGGGGCAGGAATGCAGCTGACAAACAGCAAGTAATTTATGTTTAAGTGTGTCTGCAATGCATTCCATCTCCCTCTACTTCTCTCTGCTTTTGTTTCTCCATTTCCTGTCTTTTTAATGAAACCTATGAGCTGTGTCATTCATTTGAAATGTCTATGTGAACAGTAAATGAACCACCCTTTATCTATTCTGGACCCAGAACTTATTATTAAATGCAGAAATGAGCCACTCTAGTTCAAATTAGCAGACAGCCATGTCCTTTTCTTTCATTCTGTGCATATATTCATTATCTTTATCATTATTTGTCAGTTTCCTATACATCTGTCACTAACACTGCTACTGAAATAATTGTAAATGATTATATTATTCCTAATGTAAGGCGATGGAGTTATACACTAATTCTGCATCAGCTCAGGACCAAAACTTGAATGGGAGTTGATGGAAAGTTTGAATAGCTGTATAAACAATAGCACAGAGGAATTGTAGTGCAAGAGTAACAATTGATTTGAGCTGGAAAATTTGCTTAATTTGTTGTGTTTGATTGCGACCCTTATCCGCTTTTTATTATGTAGTGCTGGTGTAAATGCCCAGCGCTCAAACTGTTTTAAGTTTCATCTTTGCAAAGAGCTGCCTATAGCGCTGAGAAAGTTCATCTGTGATTTTTGTTTTTCTCCCCCCCTTTCCATTCTCCGGTCGTTGTCTCTATGGTGAAGGATGGAGAGCACGACAAAACACAGATGGTAAATAAATGCTTTTAATAATCTACAAATAAATAATAAATAAAATGTTGATGACTATGCTGATTATGATCATAATAATAATAATAATAATAATACTATTACCGTTGATTTGCTCATGTCCCTGTATAATGTTAGCACTGCAATATGACCAATCTGCCTGGAAACACGCATAGCCTCTTCTGCCAGCTATCTGCTAATGCATGCAAATGTTCTGTAATATAACTCGGCACAAATCTTCTGTGAGTGATTTTGTGCTCTTCAATCTCTGCTTGGAATAGTCCAACTCATCATCCTCACAGGTGGCAGATCACATAATTGCAATCACACCCTGTCTCTCTCCAATGTGGCCTATTCTTTTGCACTTGACCCAAATTAACCTCCTGAGATGTGATGTCGAAAATCACCTTTTATTTTTGTGTTTTATTTATTTCTCTGTATTTGTTTTACTGTTTCTACTTATTTTTCTTTATTTATGTGGTATAAATACTACAATCGTAGACATTTTTTCATAGACAAGGTAATTTACTAACCAAAATTCCTACATTTCTAAAAGTCTCTGATGAATGGTCAAATGTGCTTGAATTGTGTGTAATTAATCCTTTTTTGGTTAAAGTGGTTTATAAGTACTTGAATTATTGAATAGTGAACTCTACAGTTCATTCGGGTGAATCAACAAAAGTGATTTTCACATTTTATTTGATTGGTCAATAAATAGGACATATGCTGGGTATAAATTCCTCTTATTTACAGACAGTCTGATTTAGTAACTAGATCAAATTGCTGAATTTAAGAAACTGGTCAGGTTTAAACTTTGCACCAAGGGAGCAACCACTCTATGCTATTGTTGGCTACAAACCAAGCCAGAGCAATCACCAAGCGTTTCTGACGGCCCTGTTAGCAGATCAGGCTGGATAAGGGAGCGAGGACATGGGTGTGAATCAGCTGGTCCTTTTGACACCACAGATGGCTGTTCACACCATTGTTTGCATAAACTTCCTGTGACTTCAGTGATGGCTGCAACTGGCCGCCCCCAGGCTGCTATCTTCTATCACCAGAAACTGCAGATAAATTCCCCTTGTATGTGAAATAGGATAAGTTGTAGATTTCAAAGGTGGCTACTTCTGCGATTCTCATAACAAAAAAAACAACATTATTTATATTGGCCGTTAATTATGAAACAACACTGCTTTGTTACAGTAGAGCGTACAGTACAGACACCTGGTTGCTTGATTTTGATTACAGAATGTATTTAGTCCCATTCTCCACATACACAGTGCGCTGCTGTTATGAAGCATCATTACTGTAAGCTAAGCTACATTAATCAACTGTCCCATATTAAGTGTTTGCTGCTGCTCTAACACACAGTCTGCTGCATTTGGCTTCATTTGTTTGTGAGCAAACAGGAGGATGGCAAAATAATGTAAAACTCTGCATCAAAAATGTAAATTATATAGTTAAAGGTAACCACACAGGCCAGTGTTACAGAGGCTTGTGAACATAGCAGGTCACTATGGCTTGACATTATTGTAGCTCCTGTACTCTACACTGCAGGGATTCACTAAAATACAGATCTTTATCTGAGTTTAGCATTAAAAACACCTTCACTCTGACAGCCGCGTTACATTACATTACATTTAGTGGTGCACGATAATTATCGGCCCGATAATTATCGGTCCGATAATTATCGGTCCGATATTAGGAATTATGACGTCATCCCGATAAACCCGATAAAAGTATTAATAGCCCCGATAATATACAATATATTTTTTGGGTTAAAAAAAGAAAAAAATACTGCGGTGTGGGTGGATTGGGATGAGGGGCGCTTGTTTTTCACTCGGCTCCTCCCGTTTTGCCAGTACTGTGGTATTAGTGGTTTAGGAAGAGGGGAGTTTTTCACAAATCCAGCGCTCCCTAACTCATGCCTGGCTGTGACGTAAATGGTGTGCGGCCGTGAAGCCAGGACAGTAAACAAACATGTCGTCGGTAGTATGGGACTATTTCAAAGTTTCAGAGTTAGATAGTTCGCTTGCTATTTGTATTAACAAATGCAATGCAGAAGTTCCACGAGGAGGGAAACAGGCAGCGAGCTATAATACTTCCAACCTGATTAGTCTCCTGAAACATCGCCATCGCTACGATGGTGTGTTAAAAGCGTACAACGACGCCTGCGCTGCTAAACTAGCGGCGAATCCAAAGCCAGCTGCAAAGGCACCGGGGCTTTTACCTATCGACGAGGCTTTTGAAAAAGTAAAGAAGTTTATTTGGGAAAATAAATATGGTCACTTTGAAGAGTCAAAACTGTTCTTGGCTTTGTTTTGTTCATAGTAGTAATGCTCATGTCATTTGCTCACTACTAGTCTTTTTTTTACCACCAGGTGTGCAAAAACTACAGGTGCATTTAATATATATTCTATTTTTATCAGTATCGGTCTTGAGAAGCAGGAAGTTATCGGTATCGGTTTCAAAAAAACAATATCGTGCATCCCTAATTATATTACATTACATTACATTGCATTTAGCTAACGCTTTTATCCAAAGCGACTTACAATAAGTGCGTTCGACCAACAAAATACAAACTTGAAGAAAACAGAATCATATAAGTACATCAGGTTTCATAGAGCCAAAACATTTCAAGTGCTACTCAACTGACTTCTTTATATAAGCCAGTCCTTTATTAGTATATAAGTGCTTTGTTAATAGTTCTATCGCTCAAATTGGAGTCGAAAGAGATGAGTTTTCAGTCTGCACCGGAAGGTGTGTAAGCTATCTGCTGTCCTGACTTCAATGGGGAGCTCATTCCACCATTTTGGAGCCAGGATAGCAAACCCACGTGTTTTTGCTGATGGGATCTTGGGTCCCCCTCGCAGTGCGGGTGCAGCGAGCCGTTTGGCTGATGCAGAGCGGAGTGCACGTGCTGGGGTGTACAGTTTAACCATGTCCTGGATGTAGGAAGGGCCAGATCCATTTTCAGCATGGTACGCAAGTACCATTGTCTTGAAGTGGATTCTAGCAGTTACCGGAAGTCAGTGAAGGGAGCGGAGGAGCGGCGTGGTGTGGGAGAATTTAGGAAGGTTGAAGACCAGACGAGCCGCTGCATTCTGGATGAGCTGCAGAGGTCGGATGGCACATGCAGGTAGACCAGCCAGGAGGGAGTTGCAGTAGTCTAGGCGTGAGATGACGAGAGCCTGGACCAGAGCCTGCGTGGCTTTCTGGGTCAGCTGGGGACGTATCCTCCTGATGTTGTAAAGCGTGTATCTGCAGCAGCGGGTTGTAGCAGCGATGTTTGCAGTGAAGGACAGGTTGTTATCTAGGATCACACCCAGATTCCTTGCAGTCTGAGTCGGGGAAACAACAGAGGTGCCGATGTTGATTGTTAGGTCAAGAGTGGGACAATCTTTTCCCGGAAGGAAAAGCAGTTCAGTCTTGTCAAGGTTGAGCTTGAGGTGGTGAGCAGACATCCACTGAGAGATGTCAGCTAGACAAGCAGAGATGCGTGCGACGACCTGGGTCTCTGAGCGGGGAAAGGACAGAATGAATTGGGTGTAGTCAGCGTAGCGGTGGTATGAAAAACCATGCGGGCTAATGACAGATCCGAGCGAGTTTGTGTACAAGGAGAAGAGGAGGGGACCAAGAACAGAGCCCTGAGGGACCCCTGTAGTTAATTGACAAGGTTCGGACTCGGACCCTCTCCAAGTAACCCTGTAGGTGCGGTCTTTGAGGTATGAGGTGATGAGGGAAAGTGCAGAGCCTGAAACTCCAAGTTCTTGGAGAGTGCGAAGGAGGATCTGATGATTCACCGTGTCGAATGCAGCAGACAGGTCCAGAAGGATGATGACCCCTCCTGGCTGGTCTACCTGCATGTGCCATCCGACCCCTGCAGCTCACCCTCGGCTCGTCTGGTCTTCAACCTTCCTACATTTTCACACACCACTCCGCTCCTCCGCTCCCTCCACTGGCTTCCGGTAACTGCTAGAATCCACTTCAAGACACTGGTACTTGCTTACCATGCTGCGAATGGATCTGGCCCTTCCTACATCCAGGACATGGTTAAACTGTACACCCCAGCGCGTGCACTACGCATCAGCCAAACGGCTCGCTGCACCCTCGCTGCGAGGGGGACCCAAGTTCCCATCAGAAAAAACACGTGGGTTTGCTATCCTGGCTCCAAAATGGTGGAATGAGCTCCCCATTGAAATCAGGACAGCAGAAAGCTTACACATCTTCCGGTGCAGACTGAAAACTCATCTCCACTTTGAGCGATATAATTACTAACAAAGAATTGCTAACAAAGCACTTATATACTAATAAAGGACTGGCTTATCTAAAGCCAGTTGAGTAGCACTTGAAATGTTTGGCTCTATGAAACCTGATGTACTTATATGATTCTGTTTTCTTCAAGTTTGTATCTTGTTGATCGAATGCACTTATTGTAAGTCGCTTTGGATAAAAGTGTCAGCTAAATGCAATGTAATGAGCTGACATGACATGATAACATCACGTCAAATAGATGTTCCAGGCTGGAAGTATATTGCAGCCCCACTGAGGTTTTTTCACAGCCATATCCTTTGGCAGTATATATTACATGAATACAAATAATGGTGCACATTAACACTGTGTGAATTAAAGAGGCAATATTGATGTTCAAAGAGCTCAATAATGTTGCTCAGCAATGGCACAATCGGTTAGGGAACTACTTATCTAAGTGCTAAACTGCTATAACAGCTCCCATTCATTAATATGTGTTATTCTAGATTTACTAGCACACAAAATAAAAAAAAATATAGAAATAGTCCCCGACAAAAATTCTGTAGTCCTGTTTTAATAATATGTTCTAAAAACTACCGTGCTCAGTTGTTTTTGATGGTGACTGAGCCTTTTTAAAATCATAAATTCGTTACTTGTTATATTGAAGTTAAAGTTAAGTTAAAGCCTTTTATTGTTATTATACAAAAAGTACAACGTGTTAAGTAGTAACACATTGGTTTAAGTCTTAGAAATACAGACAGTGTAATTTGGTAAGTGTAGAACATTTGGAGGTACATTGTTGGTTTAATTTTTCAATCAGATTGTGTTTCTTACAACGGAAACAGCTTTTTCTTTTCACGTTCAAAGCCAGAGAACAGACTGTTGCTGTAAATATTGTTGCATGCATGTAACTGACAAACTTTTTCTTGTCTTTTCTTGTCAAATATCTATTTTTCCCCTCTTAATTTAAATATAAATGTATCATTTCACAGTTTCAACATCCGGTTTATATTCGCTCATACTAGTCATGTAGCAAATACTGAATTATTAAGAGAATGAATCTTGTTCTTCAAACAAATGGGTACAATTAACACTTTGGTACATGGGCCACAATATAAATATGTATGTCTATATGCGCGGGAAAGAGCTTGTATTGTCCATAAGGCACAGACTTGAGGAAGCGAAACTGTTAACACCAGAGGAATGTCACAGGCTTGTCAGGCTTACTATAGAATCAGCAGGTGGTTAGTGTGGTCATAATACATACTGCTCAGGCTAATCCTTCTCAAACCTTCTTAGCCAGCTAATATGTCTCTGTTTTTCCCTCTTCTTCTTCTCCTCCCTCTCCTCTTTACAGGCCAGCACAACTATCTGTGTGCGGGGAGAAATGACTGCATCATTGATAAGATACGGAGGAAGAACTGTCCAGCTTGCCGCTTCAGGAAATGTCTTCAAGCCGGAATGAACTTGGAAGGTAAACAGTCAAACCCATCTTTAAATCAGGCTTAATGTTAAGCCCTGTAGCCCCCCCAACGTTTTTTTTTCGAGACTGTGTCTCAGAGCTTCTTAACATTTATGAAACTATTAATGTGTAACACCAGATTAACGGGAAGAATCTCAGCTAACTAAAGATATGAACCATTTTTACCAAAACAAAACACAAGTCTCATAAGAAGCATCTAAATGACCCCTGAGCGAAAAAATGCAAACTGACTTTGGCACAGAACTCAAGATAAAGATACCCTTATTACTTATCGTAACCACATACAATATATCCGATTAAAGCTGAGACTCCACAGATTATATAGGTATAGTATCATCACTGAGCGATCCGAACTCGCGACAGGGGAAGCAAACACAGACATCCCAACACGTACCTTTACGGAGCTTTTACGGGAGATCGTCTCACCGTAGCTGTCAATCTGATCAAAAAACGTGTTCAATGGCATTAAAACGAGAAAAAACGCGGCTGAATCGGTTAATCCATAAATTAATAATGTGTCTGTTGCTTTGAAAAAATTATTTATAATCCATAATTCCATTTTTATGTAAAAATCGGAGAAAAAAAGTTAGCTGCTAATGGTAGCCACCGAGCAGCTTCCAGTTTTGGCTATACGTCACTCTCACTCCTTATTTGGTAACGTGTTTGTGCGTGTAGAACTTTCCTTTGTGCTAAATCTCTCTAAAAAGGTCAAATGTCACTTGTTTTGCATCAATCTTGATACAGGGTACTTATTATATGTTGTACTTTGGATTCCTAAAGCTTTTAGTCTACCTTACCAAGGGGCTACCCTTATCCAAGGGTAGTTTTCACTATAAGTAAAAAATAATTTTTGGACGGACACTATAATTTACAGTTTTTTATTATGTTCAATCTGAATTTTCTTTAAAATAAAAAACATCTATATTGATTCTGACTTTTCTACATCCAACTCACATGTTTATCATTACTTTGAGAAGAAAGATTATTAATTTAACCCTTAAGATATGGTCATTTGTTCTGGGAATGTCATTTTCGAGCCTGAGACCTGAAAAACAGGCTCAGGGTGGAACAGGTTAATTATAACTGAGCTTAAAGTGGGACAGCAGTCCTTTTGCTTTTATAATGTGTGGAATTTCCAAACAGATTAGGTCGTTAGGGTGGAATTATTTCAGGGTTTTTCTCCAAATAGGGCGTGGCCTAGCAACAACTGGGCAATATGGGTCTGTAGAAGACTCCACCCACTCCCTCCTTACCCACCTCACAGCTGAGCATAAGGGAGAAATAAAAATTGAGACCTTTAAATGTTGACAACTGATCAACGTCTGCTTCTATGATATTGCTTTGCTGGCTACATACATGATAACAGTCAAGTGAGGTTTCATATGATGGCTGGTGTTCACTCAAGACCCCAGGAATGGAGCCATATTTGTTATAATAAATGTATAATACACTCTCAAAGTGCAATCATCATAAACATTTTTACATTTTACAATGTTAACTTGGACATATATTTGGAATATAAACCAAGAGATTATAGAAATCACACAGTGACACAGCATTTGAACTTTTACTCTTTTTTTTTTAACTATGCCTTTACAATTCCCCTTCATTGAGTGTCATGTGATTGGCTCTGCAGCCCTGCTACACACTTTTTCCACTACAACCTCCAGCATGTCTCGTATGATAACTGGAAAATTGAAAAGATATAATCTTGGTTGTAGTTTAACACTAAGTAATGGAGATAATGTACTTACTTATTTACAGTACTGTTTTAAGCTGTTCCCATATATCTTAACATGTTGAGATATGTTTAATTATGTCAAATCAAAGACAGTATGCACTGTGATTTTACACTCACAGGTTGTTGTTGGAATACTATTGATAAAGACAGTAGCCTAGATCCTTTTTGAAAGCAGTATTGTATTTAAAACAATATGACATGAGGGAAATGTTCCATCTCAACATAAATAAACAACCAAGTGAAATGCATGGGATCAATTGAATGATCGATTTATACAAAGAGGGAAGAAGGTTATATCAAGTAATTAAATATTGACTAACTTATTACCATTGCTGTGAACATACAGTATGTAATGGGCAATTAAAGCAGTACTGTAAGGCATGCATTCACAGAGCAAACATAATTGAAACATACTGTCCCTTATATCTTCCTCTTTTACTTACCACATTGTAATTTCTCCTTATCTTAAAAAATCTCTGCCTTAACTTTTTTATTTTGTGATGTTTCTCACAATGACTTCTTATGTAATAATCTTAATCTGTTCCTGTAGGAATAAAATGAGGGTATTATTACTCACTATGTGGGCTTTTCACTTTTAGTCAGTTACAATGATTTATTTTAGATAGATAATGACAGTGAGAGAGACGAAAACAGATCTCAAAGTCCTTTTTGAAATGTTGCTGGTTTATGAGACTCTGGATTTGTGAATGCATGTCTTCTGTGAGAGTGTTTAAGCCATTGTCAATAGATGTGCTGTTCTGTACACATGTGCTGGTTTACAGCTGAGGCAGTATGAGAGCTCCAGCTCCTCAGGAACATACGTCAATTCAAAATCCACTGTCAAGTCCCGCCTCTAGAGCCTTGGAACACTTTCTGATCCTTCACCTAATACTGCTTCAAAGGATAAATTGTTAACACTAGAACCGCCAACGGGTAAATTTGACCCACAGCTGTTTTTTGATTCAATGTAACTTTTTTTCAATAACAAATTAAAGTCTCCCAGTCCGTGACTTTTCCTGAATGTGTGTTATGTAGCACCCTCTGTTGTTAACAATTGTCAATATGAAGTCAGACTGAAATAATCGCCAACAAAATTGCCATTTATACCCATATCCGCCAGCGGGTAATATTTACCTCATAGAAAATGCAGCGTAAACATGACGTGTTGCTATAGCAACGCCTTTTGTCTACTGCGGTTCCTTATAGATTGAGAGAGAGAGATATATAGATGGATAGAGAGAGAGAGATAGACAGATAGATAGTTATAGTGTAACATCTTGGAGAATACAAGATCTTGGATGACTGAGCTCACGTTGAGGACGTAATGCATGTGTGCAGGTTACGTGCCAGTTGAATAAAGATGGACCACTCGGAATGAGAGAAGTAGTCCGCGTCGTCTGTTTATGTAGACAATTATATGTCCATAGAACAGGACATTACAGATAGATAGTTATAGATGGATAGAGAGATAGAGATTTGTACCTAAACAAAACACAAGTCTAACAACAAGCGTTTAAATCAGCACTCTTAGTGATATTTTATACTTCATGTTATCTGCACAAACTATATCATGTGAAAAGCTGAGAGTCCACAGATTATATTGGTATAAGTTTCATCCCTGTGTGATCAAAACTCACTGTTCTACATGATAAATAAAAGAACATTGTACCTTGCAAGTCAATAGCGGGTACATTTGACCCGTTGGCAGTTTTAGGTATACAGCGACCTCTGGCGGTTCTAGTGTTAAGAGAGGGAGAAACAATTAAAGAAGTCACATTTTAGGGAGATGGACATGGTAAGCAAAAGTGAAGCACAACTACTCAGAATTTGGTTGTTAGGTTATTTCAGCTGATGCTTCCTCGGGGCATGAAATCACGCTCTGTGTGGAGTGAGATTACTTGTAGACAGTGCAGTGTTTGTCAGGCTGAGGTGAAAGTAGTTTGCTACAGGCAGAAGACAGAGAGACAGGGAGAAGGATTTGATGGACGTCAGCGCATCAGCAGACAGGATCCCAGAAAGGCTCTCAGTTGCTATAGAAACGCCAGGAGAAGAAATTAAAAAAGGTAGAGTAGAAAAAAAAAAACATGTTTTTGCACATTTAGTGGTAGACATTTCTAAAACGATGGCCAGATATTCTACATGTGTGCATCAACACGTCAATTTGCTACTGAGAAACTGAGAAAAAAACGTTTGAATGTTCTTCTCAGAAAGGGAATGTGTTTTTTTTTTCAGATAGTGAAGAGTTTATGGCTGTGTAAAAACCAGCATGCTACATTCTCACGACCTTTCACTGGTTTGTTACAATTCATTGGGTTCAAAGTAATTGCACAAAACTTTAAACTCGTACGATGGTAATTTTATTACTTATGATGTTTAATAATTCATAAATAATATGATCTACAGCAGCAATTTAAAAGTTGTCTAATGTACACATTTGTCCCTTTTTAGTTTTATAACAAAAACAGGACATTTGAAGACATCACTTTTGCCGCTAGAAAATTGTAACATTTTTAACACTATTTTCTGATATTCTATAGACAAAATTATTAATCAGGTAATCAGGAAAATACATGACAGATTCATTTAGAGTGGAAATGGCTTATGAACATCTATCCTTCTTCTGTCGGCAGTCTGTACATTTTATAACAAACAGTACATGCCTGTCTGGAGGAAGCACATGACTTTCCATCAAATTCATTTCAGTGGTCACAATAATCTAAGTGTATCATCTATTAAACCCTAACCAACATCTTGCTGCTTTGATCTTTAATTGTATTATTCAGTTGTGTAGATGCTGTTGGTTGTAATATCAGAAATTATTCAAATACAAATGTTGAAAGCATGGCCACCTTTGCCGAATAAGTATGACTCTTTGCTCATTCTTTTTTTTGATTTCCCTTTCGCCTGTCTCCCAGCGAGGAAAAACAAGAAGCTGATCAAGATGAAGGTGCAGCGGCCTTCTGGACCCTCAGAGCCCACCAGCAACATGCTTGTTCTGGGCATCCCCAGACCCATCCCTCAGCTCGTGCCCACCATGCTGTCTGTGCTGAAGGCCATTGAGCCAGAGATCATTTACTCGGGCTACGACAGCACTCTGCCGGACACCTCTACGCGGCTCATGACCACTCTCAACAGGCTTGGGGGGCAGCAGGTCATCTCTGCAGTCAAGTGGGCCAAGTCACTGCCAGGTAACAAAAAGCTCCTAAACATGTGTTGCCTTTGATTTGGTTTGGTTCTATATCTGTGCTAAGAAAAGTGAGCCCAATTAGTCTTGTTATTGAGACTGATTGGCAGTGGGACAAGTCAGTGATGGAAAATTGAGTAATTTGTCATTTGGAATACATGCAGCTGTTACAGGATATGGCAACTCTTTAAGATCAAATTGTAAATATTTGACTAGACATTTGGTACGCCATGGTGTAGCTTCTGCCCTCCAGTAAATCAAGCATATGCTTGTTAGCATTCCTGAATGAGACTTCAGAACACTATTAGCAGCAAGTCAACTGGTAAAAACAATGTAAAAAATGTGATGGTTTTAACTGAAGGAACATAACTTATCATACTTATAAATGTCAAAGTGAACCGGCTAGTGGCTAAAACAGGTGTAAAGACATGTTACTCTTGCCACATTCATAGCTTTGATGGGGCTTTTCAGATTTAAACTGTATCTGTTAGCTGATCAAGTGGATTTGTACAGTTAATTATAAGCAAATAAGGAGCCTTTGTGGAGCTGATTTAATCCTGTTTAGGCTGGTTGCCAGTTATCTCAATTGGTGCAGTGGTGTTCATTCTGAGTGTATTTAATTTAAGACTGTACAGATATTATAACCCATGTGATTCCTCGTGGAAGTTCATCCAAAGAACCACACATGTTCAGCTACTATTTATAAAAAGTGTGACATCTGCAATACTGACAGAACAGGCGTATAATAACTCACTTTAGAAACGCTACAACTTCAAAGTACCTTTTGTGATAAGGTCATGGCTGAAGTTAATATGATTGTAATGTGCATAAAGATTATTTTCCTACAACCTGTAACATTGTAAACATTTTAAGCAAAAATATATATGGCAGCCAACCATCTTCTATTTTGATTTTAAAGCTAATCAAATTACTGTATTTATAGTCAGTGTCATCTTTACTAATTACTTTTGCAAAACTCTGTGGGAACATTATAGATTAGAATTGTCATCATACAGTAGATGCAGCTTATATACTTTACTATTTTATTGTTGCCTCAAATGGCTTAAATTCATGTCATAAATATTGTGAAAAATGCTGGATTCATTGCTGCGTAGTAACTTTTTCCAGAAAAACTCAAATTGTTCAGCCCCACATGCTAGTTTCTAATCATGAGAAAGAAGCCACATGACTTGATAATCGCTACAAATATTTGCTTGGAATTTTCTTTCCTTCTCACTGTAATTTTTGCTATTGGTCACACAATTCAAAATGTAATGTAACCTTTATTTCACTCTGTGTTTCTCTTTCTGGGACAGTATGATAAAGGACAAACCTGGCACCAATGTTTCATTTTGTGCATTGTCCACAGCTGGCACCATGCCACAGTGATAGTGAGGAAAAGCTCTTACTGCAGGCTGTGGGGGGGGGGGGGTTAAAAGCCTGGGTTTCAAACAACTGTAATGTGAAAGGGCTTTTCATGTGATGTTTCACATTTAGGGTTTTAATGGTGTGTAAAAGTCTGAACTGCAATTTTATTCCAATTTGAACATCTACTGAACTACAACGTACTATTTTGGTTTGTTGTCTTTAAATTATGTATTGGGTAATTACATTTCAATTTGTTCAATGTTTCTTCATCACTTTTAGTCAATATTTTGCTGTCTTTCTTTATAAAACAAACTTAATCACCGCCATCACCCTAGTAAATCAGTTAAAACACATTTTATACTATTTTGGATGAAATGCAGTTTAATAAATACTATTCTGTTGACCTAAGGCAGGGGTCTGCAACCTTTTTGACCAAAAGAGCCATTTTGCCCCCTTTTCCACCAATTTTCTTTGTCTGGAGCCGCAAAACATATTTGATAGCTTGATAGCTTATAAAGTTGTATATATTGTTACATCATAGACAAAAACTACAGTTTTTTTGCATTTATTATTTATTACATTAGAAAACTGTTTACCTCTAATAAGAAACAAAGAACTCTTATAAGGAGAATTAAAACAAATAAACAGGCCAACTTTAAAATAAATCAACACAGCACTCGGGGAGTCCTCTGCACATTTGAAGAAAATTAAAATAATTAAAATGGGCCCACTTTGAAATAAATAACACATATAGCTGCACCCTAAAAACTGATTGAATTATGACTGAAGATTTTCAGCTGTCTTCCTCTTCCGTGTTTTTCCTCCCATACGTAAAGGCTGCAGCACCTTTAACAACTTCTCTCCACATATCAAACATACCGGTAAACCAGCATCGTTTGCTGTGAAAGCATATAACTCTAACCACGCAGAATGAAACCCTCTGTGTTCCTCCGATACTTTTCTTTTCTTTGATTTATCCATAGTTCGCTCATCGAGCCGGGGGTCAGGTTATTCGCCTGCAAGCAAAGGCGCTAGCGCGGGATCGTAGCAGGATGTGACGCATATTTTAGTTGACCTAATTAAAACCGTTTTTTAAATTGTTTTATGTGTCACAGTATCACCTCAAAATACAAGATACGAAACATTTTCAACCGTGCAACAAAATATAAATAGTCCTACAAATACTTTTATTTTATTTCCTTCTTATTTTTGTCTAAGCTCAAGAGAGCCAGAGCAGAGGGCTTAAAGAGCCGCATGCGGCTCGAGAGCCGCGGGTTGCCGACCCCTGGTCTAAGGTCTTCAACAAAGGACTTATTGTTCAAATGTAACTTTCTAATCCAGTTTATCTGACTTTCCAAGGCTTCCGCAACCTGCACTTGGATGACCAGATGACATTGCTGCAGTGCTCATGGCTCTTCCTCATGTCCTTCAGTCTGGGTTGGAGGTCGTACGAGCAGTGTAACGGTAGCATGCTCTGCTTTGCCCCTGATCTCGTCATCAACAAGTGCGTACCAAGGCCAGCTTTTGTGTATTATGCAGTCTTTTCTTCAGCACAACCTTTTACAGCCTATTTTTCGTTTGCTCATTTCAGAGTGTCTGACTTCATCACTTGGCTTAACCACTTGCCAATGACTCTTGAGTTTACTGGAAATAATTCGCTGAATGTTCATTTATTAAATCATGATAAAAGAAACCGCTAATGGCGCAATGTGTTATTAGACAAAGACCTTTGTACAGGGGAAATTAAGGTTTATTTGCCAGGAGCTAATTGGGTTAGCCTAGCATTAACTAGGGGAACACAGCTAGCCTGGTTCTGTCCAAAGATTAAAAATACACACATTTACAGCACAGTTATTAATGTTTTGCATCCTTTAATCCCTTATTTCTAGATTTGGGGTTTTATAGGAAGTTAAATACTTTAGGTATTTGTTGCTTCTTGACGAAGCTAAGTAGCTATTTACCGCCATGCTTCCAATGTTTCAGCTAAGCTAATTGCATCCTGGTGTATTGATCTCTCAAAAAAATACATAAATGTGAAGTATGTATTTGATTAATGTATCTTATTGTAATGTTTTATCTTTGATCAAAGCACAACATTTCAGTGATCATTTTAAATACTTTGAGATTGAGATACATCTTGTACTACGGTTTGAAAAAGGACCTGGCAGATATTCTGGTCATGGATTTAGTTTTTTTAAGGAGTCTGATGAGACCAGTAGGAATTTAGAAGTGCAGTGTTAATTTCCCCAAATAATGAAGGTTTTTCGAATCATATTGAGAGATTGCTACAAACACTGAGCTCTCGCCCCTGACCAGGTGCAAACAGCTGGTGTTTATTGGATGTAGGTAGAAAGAGTAGGCCCACACTGTGAACATCCGCTCTCTAAGGACACAAACTGCAAGAGGGGTAAAAATAGATATGAAAGGTGAACAAGTCTTCACCGGTAGCACTGCAGCTTGGCAGAATGAATAGACTTGTCTAAACCCAAGGCTATGTATGAGGAGAATGTGCTGTATTGATTTTAGAGGTTGAAAGTAATACATGCTGTGTGTTAGTGGAAGTGAGGTGTGAAAATCCATCAAGACTGATTTCACAGTCCGGTTTTTCTCTTGCACGGTTGTGGCGCTTTCCTGCTGGGGCTGTTTATTTAGACTTTAATAACAGGATGAGTGAAAGAGCTTTAACTCTATACCTCTGTGTTTTCCTTCTTGTCTATCCCCCTCTGTCTCCATCCGTTCCACACGTCTCCCTCATCTCCACTTTCTCCCTTGCCCTTTCTTTTCATCTCCCTCTTTTCAGAGATCGCATGAAGCTGCCCTTCATGACCGACCAGTGCGAGCAGATGCTGAAAATCTGTAATGAGTTTGTCAGACTGCAGGTGTCCTATGACGAGTACCTGTGCATGAAGGTCCTGTTACTGCTTAGCACAGGTAATGAACAAGCCTCATTGTAAATCACATATACTGTAATGCGGTGTTTTCATACTTCAGGAACAACACTTCAGCACTTATTGTAGAATTCATTAATTATCACTTTTTATATTTAAAAACTAGGTTTTACTGCTGCAGCCTATTAGCTCACTTTCTCACAGTAGGGTAGCACACTTAGTGGAATGCAGACAGACTGCTTCGTAAATGCAAATGTAGGCTCATGCTTTCGCACTATCGTTGAGCGTGGATGAGTACATATGTGTGGTAGATAGGATAGATTTGAATCGATTCATCTCTCAGTTCCAAGCTCAGTTTTTTAAAAATATTAACAAAAAAATGTCTGTACTTAAATAACCACAACGCACACATTCGATTTTTCCCTTTTGCATAATCAAAGCATTTTGATCGGCACTTGCACACAATTTATGAAACTATTTTAGCTTTATGATTAATGCAGCAAAACCATACAAACCCACAGTTAAATGTAGTGCCCTGAAAAGACAAGACGTTTAAAATCAAGTGTCTTAAATCTGGATATTAACACTTACAGATGTCTGACCTTTTACTGGTATGATCCTGTCTTAAGATGCTTTTTACCCTACAGAGGGCTTTTGTAACAACTCCATCACGCCATCCAGTTTTCTAAGCTTTCCTGAAAACAGTTTTTTCTCAAAAGTACAGTCTGTTCATCTTCTGTAGTCACTTACGGAAAGCTGCCCTGTATCGTAACCATACATTCGGTTCAGTAGCTTGTCTCAAAATGATAAACATCACAGTGAGGTCAACTAAGTTTCTTATATCACAGTATAATACACTAGCTTTGTGTCTTTCATGGATATCATCAAAATTGCACATTGCCTAAATAAGAGCATGTAACAAACATGATGTTACATGAAATGCTTTCTCCCCAATACTGGCTATAAAAGCATTGGCCTACTAGTCTAACTTTGCAGTGAGTGCCCTTTACATTTTCAGCTTTTAAACTGAATCAAATGTCTTCCTAACTATGTTAATAACTGTGTTGTGAGGAGTGGAGCATTCCTCCCTATGCCTCACTCCCTGTGAAGGGGAAAGGATGCACTTGAGAGGTGATTTTCTCGTTATGCAGAGGAAATGACATTTCCACACTGAGCCCTTCTTGCATTCTCGTACCTAAGAGCAGTTTCCATCTGTTCCCCTCCGGGATGGAAAAACTGTCAGCTGCGTTGAGCTGTTTTAATCATTTATCATGCATGTGAGTGAAAAGTGACCTACTGTATGGGACAATTTGATTTACTGTTAAACACAAGTGAAAAGTTCAGAGGGCCAACTTCACTTTCAGCACATTTGAAGACAGAATTTAAAAAGGTATTTAAAAAAGCCCAAATAGGTCATTAGAGCTCTTCTCTACTAAATGTTATATAACAACACATTGTTTTCTTTTATCCAAAATAGAACGCAGGATAGGCAGTCTGTCTCCCTCTTACACTCTTTGCCAAGGCCTTATTAGGAGGCCAGATAGCATGTGCACTGTGGTGTCTCCCATGTATCTGATTATGTAATCAGACAGCATTTCACCCCGACCATGCCCTCTGTGGCTTTGCTTAATCTATTGGCCCGTTACTGTGGCTATTTTATTGTTGCCTCAGACACCAGACTGACAAGGGGTCCGTGGTCTGTTGACATGGTTGTTATGACAACTGCATTTTGATGTTCTTCGGCCATGACGAGCACAGTCCAAAGCTCCAGTGTGTGATCTTTAAAATAAAGTGTAAATGCAGAGTTTGTGATTTTTATGAAGACATTAACTGCTCCTCTCTCAGATCCTCATCCAGGCCACACCAGTTACGGAACATTTAGCATAAAAGCTACATATGTTTAGTGATGCATATTTTCCACTGCCTACAGCATTCTGGTTCTTAGTCAGCATCTCCCAAGTGTCCTGGTTGGGGACTTACACAATAGGTTTTAATGGAATATTAATGTATATGGCTCTTTTTTGCAGCGGAGTACAAAATAAAGAGAGGCTAAGACAATAAGCTGCTGGATTTTCAGTTTGACACCGATGTAGAAGACTGGAGCTCCAGCCACAATAAAACATTTAGAATCTTTGGTTTTTACCATGTCTTTTTGTTATTATCTTCACAAGTCACAATCCTGCTATTGCCAGATAACTTTAACACTTCTGTCTCTTGGTGTCTGTCTGTCTGTCTGTCTGTGTGTGTGTGTGTGTGTGTGTGTGTGTGCGTGTGTGTGTGTGTGTGTGTGTGTGTGTGTAGTACCGAAAGACGGCCTGAAGAGCCAGGCGGTGTTTGACGAGATCAGGATGACGTACATCAAGGAACTGGGGAAAGCTATCGTCAAAAGAGAGGAGAACGCTAGTCAGAACTGGCAGCGTTTCTACCAGCTAACTAAGCTACTGGACTCAATGCAGGAGGTCAGATAAACATACACACAGACTGTTGTGTATTGCATGCCTTGTGTTTTCTTTGCACTCTATATGGTTTGCTACATATTATAGGCAGGAAAGCAGATGTATAAAGCATTTTAGAATTGTACCATGGCTTCCTTTTAAGTCTCTTTTTCATACCAGCCAGGCTTTTTTTTGTGCATCAATAACTTCCACTGAGTTTCCTGCATCATGCTGGTTAGTCTAAAACCCGGAAGCATGAACTCATATCCCACTAAGTGCATTACTGTATGTTCCATTCAAATCTGTTACAAGCCCTCTATATCTATCCCTCTCTGTAAAGCCTCTTTATTGCAGAAGTAAAGACCTTCTGTTATAGAATCCAAGGCTAATTCGATGTTAATCCTGCAACATTTTGTTTAATATCTAATAGACTCACTAATCTGTCGGTCTGTGGATTTCTCTTCCAGATGGTGGAGGGTCTTCTCCAGATCTGTTTCTACACCTTTGTGAATAAAACCCTCAGTGTGGAATTCCCGGAGATGCTGGCAGAGATCATCACCAACCAAATACCAAAATTTAAAGATGGGAGCGTCAAGCCTCTGCTGTTTCATCAGAAATGACTGCCTTAAACTGTGAAGCAATGCCTTAAATCCTGCCCTGACCACGAACCTCTCATGGGGCCCCAAGTTTTCGCCCCAGGCCCTAAACCTTCTCTTGTCCTGCCTCTCCCAGCACTCGGATTTGATTCCTCCGTTTTCCCAGGCCCCCCCCCTTTAGGAATTCAGCCACGCCCCTCAAGGCCTCAGCCGGTCAACCTTATATCGGAGCACAATCCCTCGCCTCCCATCGCGTCACGCCTCCCCATGTGGTCCATGGTCGGGCCAAGCTACTGTGGGCAACCCTACCACCGACCTGAAGCCCTTCCTTTTGGCTAACCAAGAAGAAAATGTCATACAGGGGAAATATGTTGGCGTTGAATGTCTCATGGGCAGGATGCATTTTGGGAATCTATTTTTTATTTCATTTTTCCAGGCCCCTCCTCCGTCCATGGCCCTGTCCTCAGGTTTTTAATGCAGTTTCTTTAGGTGGCCGCCCGCCTCTTACCTTCTCCTGCCTCCAGTTGTGTATTGTTGTTTTTAATGACAAGCCAATACCTAGAAAGTCCTTTTCCGCCCTCAACACGACACCTCATATTGTGTCCAACTTGTTAGATTAGCAGCGTATTGAAGTACGAGTTCAAGCTTACAGTTCCTCTGCTCACCTGCCCATATGTCTCTGTTTGCCCCCCCCCCCCCCCCCCCCCAGCTCCACTGTACAGAGAATGTCGTACGTGTTCACGAAGCATACTCTAACATGAGAACATCTCTTCTTCTGGACTAAAGGACATTAAGGACAAACTGTTTTCAGCTGTTTTCATCATTACTGAAATGATTTGAATCAGATTTATATACCTGACCAATGAAAGAAAATAACTGGAATATTATTATATATAATATTCGTTTATTTTATGCAGACACGCATTTCTTACCACAAATGCAGGCCATGCTTACAAATGCACAACATACAACAGTATTTGCAGACACACATTCACTTAGCAAAATGTTTACACAGGATGTATCTGAGAAGGGAAAATCAGTGCCTTTTAGCTTTTAAAGCTCTTCATAGCCATCCTCTATAAACCACGTTTTTTCTTTTTGCATTACTATCTACCTTGAGAAATGTCCACATATTATTTCTGTTTTCGTTTTTCCACGTTGCAATTTCTGTTTCCTTTCCAAGCAGCTGTTTTCTGTGTTTTTAGTATGGGCAGCTCTCATTGTTTTGATCCTCAGATTTACCCCCCCCCCCCCCCCCCCCCCCCCCCCCGATGTGGGCTCCTTTAGGAAGACAGCCTTAAAGTTAAGTTAAAAATACTCAGAGCAGTACGAAATATAAAGATTTTATATTTTAATGTCATAAGAAAGTTTAAGAATCACAGAAAATAGACAGGGAAACTCAAAACAATATTTAAGTCCCAAAACACATTATGTGTGTCTCTTTTTCCCATGTAAAGTATATTTGATTAATATACTGCATCTCCCAATCAGTTACTTAAAGTTCCAGTAAACAGAATATGTCAACAGATATAATGTTAGATACAATCCAAGTTCTTTAACAAGGTTGTAACGATCTTCAACCCCATCGGTGCTAAATGGACACCACTGGAATTAAACTAGGCATATCTGATGTTTTATAATATTTAGGGTTCATTTAAATCAAATTTGTTTACAAACCTTTGCAATTTATTCAGATGCAATCACACAGGTGGGGTTTTAAAAACGAAATTGCCTGGAAAAGAACACTCAAGGCGTCTATGTGTTAGTAAATAGCCATCATGATTCAAGCGAGCCTGATTTAAAGTAAAATTGTCCTTTCTTTTCCGGCTGCATATACTTACTTTCTCGTTTAGTAAATGGTTTCATACAACTCTACTTTTAAATGTGGTTTTATTGACTTACCTGGTCAGACTGCCTGTTCCCACTACCAGTAATCACAGGAAGGTCAAAAAGGAAAGAGTTCAATGTGTGTTTTATAAAATGATTACTAGACTGGTTGGGTTTTCAAAATAAGGTGCCATGAAAACAGTAAGTACTACACCGTGCTCAAACCTCAGAAGTACTGAGAAGTGACATCAATTACTTTATCATATATTAATTCAGGTAAACAAAAAGCATATTATTGTTGACAAAAGTACTGCATCTCACTCTAAATAGCATTTTAGATTAAATATAACCTTCAATCAGATTCATCTCAAATAGTTTGCACAAACAGGAAGTGGGTTTATTATAAAGTAGTTTAACTCAACACGATTAAAAGATAATTCAATTCCATACATAATTACATATTTTTTGTATATGAGATATAGACAAATAATATATAAATAGAGACACCCATAATGTATGGAACCTCTGTTCCCAGCACAGGATTTCACCTCTAAAATTGAGATATCTTTTGGAAGAAGATGCAGTTTGATCCAAATAAAGTGAATCAAAGCTCAGGCTGAGTGACTACATCACTTGGATGTGTTCCACTAGTGCCAAATGTTGTATCACATTTTGATATGTATTTTCTGGAGATGTGTAGGGGTGATTAATCAGTTGGGGAGACAACAACACTTGTTTTTTTTTTACCTTTGCTTCAGGGCGCTCAGATGTTCAGTGTCACACCTACACCAGCTTAAACGTACTGATTGTTATCGTCCAAGTTAAGTATATGATGGACTTTTTTTGGAGATGCACAATATATTGTATTTTTGAAATTGCAAGGTCAACTGTAATATCTTCTATTGTTAAACGGGTGGTGGTCAGCATTTGTACATTTGTAATGTGAAAACATGTTCATACCAGCTTATGTGATGGCCAAAGCAAAACACACAGTGCAGTTGTTCATTGGCTTCGGCTAAAAGCTCAAACACAATCCCCCCCCCCTTCATCTATTTTCCTCAATGTTTTCCTGCCTAAAATGTCGACCGTATAGATTTTCAGCTGTTCACTCTGCATGGTATTCATCCCTCTGTTGCACATAACTCCGAATGGCAGTTAACAGACCAGGTACCACGTTGCCATAGAGACCGGTCATTTGTGTGTTACTTACAGCTACAGTAACAGCACAGCAGACTCTGGACGCATACAAGCCACTAGTCAAGAAAAGCCATCACGTTTTGAATCAGCCATTCTGCCAGAGGATGGTTACTCACAGCAGGGTTGTTTTGTGTACAGTGCAGGCTTTCAGCTTTACTCGTAAACTCTCGTGGCCTTTTGCTGTGAAGAACACGGGCTTGTGCCGCTCACGTTAATGTGGATTATTCCGGGGAGGATTTGATTAAACTGTCTTTTTGGTGACTTGTGCATACAGTATTAGAGATGTTTCCAGGTGGGTGCTTCAGAAAAACCAGCTTTAACATGTAGACCTAACCACATCCCTGCTCATCTCTAAATGGCCATAGGTGTATATAGCAGCGCCGACATATCCAGTGCAATGTAAACAGTGTCTATTATTACAACATATTTTTACAAGGACATTACTTCTATACTCCTATACATTTTTATTTGACCTTTCAACTACATGTAAAGGCCTTGCGCAAGGGAGACAGAGAGCCATAGAAATATAATTTCAAATCAGGAAATAGATAAACCTCAAAACAAATATCAATGCTTTGGGAGATTGATCTGGTGTAAAAAAAAAAGACTATTTTCTGCGATTTTTAATAGATCAACCTGATCCTCTTTGATAGGAATAATTTTACCCAATCCTTTTTGTACATTGAACAAATTGAGAAAGTAAATATTTTTCTGTTTGTTGGTTGGTGTTTGATAAAGGTAGACGTGTTAAATACATTAGGAAGTGTTAAACATGTTTGTCTTGTGAAGTAAATGTAAATTCTACGAGTCAATGGGAAAGTCTATGAATGCTCACTGTGTTTTAAAGTTATAAGGAAACAAGGTAGAGGGAGGGAGGGAGGGTGAGGCAGACGGGAGGAGGTTTTTGCGTATAAGAGTGACCAAAGCAGAGGAGAGAAAAAAAAAAGATTTATCAAACAAGAAGTATTCAAGCAGTTACATTTTAAGTAGCACTTATTATTGAACTTCTAGTACTTCTTATTTTATTTCGAAGATATCTTTTGTAAAGGTCCAGACTTTAGATCCCATGTATATTGCTGTCAGGATTTACTGGTCACTTTAAAATAGAAAAATGAGACAAAAAAAAAGTTTAATCTCCGTGTGAAAGTAAATCTACCAGAGCCTGACGGAATTGCACTACCCTCATACTGGTTAATAAAGTCTATTTTGTATAAAATACATGCAAATATTATCTTTAAAGATTAAGGGCAGATCATGATTCACTGGTACATATGGCTATGGCTTTCATTGAAGTCTGTTTTGTTCGTATTTCAGTTATGTAAATGTAATCCAATGTAAAAACAAACAAAAAATATAAAATGTTCGTTACAAAAAAACAAGTTTGTTTTACTTCTGTAGTCAGTGTCAATATTTTCACCTATTTGATTAAATGTTGAATTAAGTTATCCGTGTTGTTCTTTGACATTGGATTTGCCATTGTGTTGGTAAACTGCTTGGATGATGTTTTTGTCATCACAGGTTGAGAGTGCGAGTCGGAAAAACTGATTTCTCTTTAGTTCGAACATCTTACACAATAAAGTTCCTAGTTTTTCAAAGCTCAGCGCCACTTTTTTTCTTTCTTCAAGATATTGAGAATGACTTGGAAATGTTGGTAAGAATGCAAACTCGAGTGTCAAAACTGATCATCTAAAGAATACTTGGGATATGTACACTTACTGACCTGCTAAGCATTAGTTTATGTAGAATTACATAGAGTAATAGTGTCGTATAAAAGGCAAAAAATGTATGCAATAAAGTCTTAGTATAGTATTGTATCTCATAAAAAAGTGTAACTATTATGCCATAAAAAAGTCATGCTGTAGTATAGTATATTGTAAAAAAAAGAATGTCAATGTATAATATTTCATAAACAATCTAATATAAAAAGTAATGGTATGCCAAGAAGGTATATTACAGTATAGAATGCCATAAGAAAGTAAAACAAAAATATCTCCTTAAAGTTCATAGTATTTTATAGAGTAAAAATCTGTCGAATAATATAAAATAAATCATAGATAAGTATGTCAAAAAAGATAAAGAAAGTTGTGGTATACTACATCGTAAATATAAAAGAAGTCATAGTATATAGTATGTTGAAGAAAATCCTTGAAAGTTGAAAATATCATGAAAAAGTCATAGTATTTTGAAAAGTTCATTAAAAACTCTGGTCATCTATGTCATATCAAATAATAGTATGGTATGTCAACAAATCTGAAGTCAGTAAATATGTCATAAAGTCATTGTAAAGTATGTTGAGGAAAAAATAAGACATTCATAGTATAACATGTGGAAAATATAATTCAAAAGGTCATGTTAAAACATTTAAAAAATGTCAATATAGTCTTTTTTTTTTAAAAGCCATAGTATATTAAATTGAAAATATCATGAAAAAGGTAATAGTCTTTTAAAATATTATTGATAATCAGTGTATAATCTAGTATGTCAGAAAATAGACAGTATAGTTTGCAGTGAAAAAAACACAATTGCCTGAACACCCTTTGAGTGTTGAACAGAATGATAAATGTACTTTGTTCTTGGAGTCATAATCAAATAATTGCTTTATTTTGGTTCAAAACGTCACTGTTGTAGATCCTGGTCTGACTTATTTAACGCTGGGTAAAAATGCAGGCATATTATCCAAAAGAAACATCAAGGATGACGACTGCAGCTGCTGAACATTCATCTTTTATTCTGCACAACTCAATTCACCAAAACATCTGGAGGAACATTTAAGGATAGACTTAAATGATACACAAATCTGGGCAACAAAGATGGAATAAAGGAATTAAGTTAGTATGCTAAGAATACAAAATATAAAATGTCATACTTAAAAAATGATACCTTATCAAATGCTGTGTATTTATTTACAATGTCAATAAAACACCTCAAAATGAATACAGTTCAGGATTGAGCCTTTAAGAAACTCTCATAAATAGGAAGTTCAGATATGAACAAAGTAGTCTCATTTCACATTTAAGTTGCTTTTTTACTCTCCCATTTGATTTCCCTGTTACAATGAATAAATGCTCTTTAATATTGTTCTAAAATAACAAAGACAAAGGTTATTGAAAAATGTTCACTAAGTGGTTCAAGGAAAAATGTAGCTTGTGTTAATTCATAGGAGCCCCAAAGTAGACCAGCTTGCAATCTAAGCAGTAAAGGAAAAAGTATTGTATTTATTTATTGCCAAATGTTTGAGCTTTTATGAATACCACATCTGTATTTAATTTACTATTAAATTACAATCTTTAAACTCCACTTCCAAATGTGAATGTCCATCCTCAGATAATCACAGTTTTAGCATCATCGTTATAATTCTACATAAAAAACCTATCCTTGTCACAACGCTCACAGCCCTTATTTAGACTGACATTACTGTTGCAGGCTTATAATAAATAAATAAGATGAATTGTAAATAAAGATTAAAAAAAAGGGATACATTTGTTGGTACACAGGTGCTCTGTGAATTAAAAAAATGATCCAAATACAGTATAACTTAATAATACGTACTGGATCCATTTAGTTTAAATAATCTAAAAATACCAAAGCTGTGGAAGCAGAGCCAGGCTTCACAGCTGGGCTTGTTTAAACCAGCAGCACTCAGTTGTTACTCCTACGCTGCATGGTAAACCTATGATTTGCGTGTGGAGCTTGTTTGGAATATTTCAATTTTCTTCTGAGGGCTCTGCAAGCGGCATTTGGAATAAGGATGGCAAAATGTTGCTGCGGCGACCTCGTTCTGTGTTGATCTACCCTGGGGCTCCTGTCGCTGAACCGGAGCTCTGAAACATAAGCCAGGATGAGTCTTGTCCTGGAGAATTACCAGACCGCCACAGCAAGTGCTTACAAACACATTTAGAGCCGTACAACCAAAACCCCATCATTAAAACCTTCTTTAAAAGCTTCGGTCCCCCAATGGAATTAGCAATCATTTAAACAGTGAGGAATTTAACTAGCAAGTCCAAATGTATAGGCCGTATGCTTTTAAAAAAAATGTTTTCCCTGTCATAATCTCCATCATCTCCACAGGCAGATTTTTCAATTTCTGGCTGATAGAAAAGAGGACATTCTGGAGCAATGGCAGACAGTGCAGTTCAAAGTAATAAAGCAAGGGCCGTATAGCTCCAAAATATCACCTAATTTATACATGTATCACTCTCTCTCAGCCCCCCCACCCCCATGCCACACACACACACTTTCTCTTGCGCACATTCCAGGTTCATTACCACATCATCTTCACCAGGACTTGGGAAGTCTTCTTCACTAATCCAATAACAGCCGGAACCACAGTGGGACTAATCTTTCTTTCTTTTTTTTTCAGTGCAATTCATGGGTCTCTCCTTTCGGTCCGGCTTCAATCAGTGGTCCAGTTTGAATTCCCAGTCTAGTCGAGACAAGAGAGGCCTCATCAACAATGGTCCCGTTCAGATTAATAAATGATCTAATAGAGTCTGTCCAGTCGTGTGCAGTCAAATCTAGTCCAATTTGTTTAATTCCAGTCCTTAATTGTCCAGTTCAAGTGTTTTTCTGGGCCATGGACTATAAAAACTCCACATAGTTTTCTGGTATCAATCCTGTTCGTCCATCCAGTGTCCCTTCCAACCAGCCGGGCTCCCTGGAGCCATGCACTGGAGAGAGAGAGAAAGAAACATTGATATCATTAAAACAGCTCAAGATATCAACATCACACAGACATTCATTGGATGAGCAAATCAATACAGGGAAATGCTTTTATCAACTGTCGATGATGGTGAGAACTAGCTAAGTATTGAAATAATATTTTGGTAAAAGGAGCCTAAACCAAACAACCAACAATTATTTTCCAATATTATTAAAAGCTTCTGTTTGCGATTGAGGAGTCTGAGTTAAATCAATCATATTAAATCATTAGGCTTTCATTTCAGATTCACATTTCATTTGTCCTTTTGTATACAGTTGTGGCCATGGACAGTCTACTGTAAATGAGCAGCTTGGGATTAATAATAATAATAATAATTCCTTACATTTATTATAGCGCTTTTCCTTTTGCTCGAAGCGCTTTACAAATACACATTACACATATTTTTTATACATGCAATGGTCACTGTGGACAATACCCACAGTGAAGGTGAAGTGTCTTGCCCAAGGACACAACGGCTTTACAGACGCAGCAGCGGCGGGTTTCACCCCTTGATCTGATGATCATTGCACAGCGCACTGCGCCACACCGTCCATCTTCACGCCTCGAGGTCATCGAGGCGCTTTTACAAGTACACATTGATATCATACATGTACTGTGGACATTACCCACAGGAGCAAATCCGGGTGAAGTGTCTTGCCCAAGGACACAACGGCCTGACGCAGTGGCGGCAGGAGCGGGTTTCGAACTGGAGTTCCCCAGCACCCCCTTGATCTGATGATCAGATGCACAGACCACTGCGCCACCCGTCCCTATAATGTACTTGTAATGTTCTGTTTACATTTCTGAATAATATATCCTATGTTGCACATCTTTTAATATTATGGCCTCAGAGTTAATAAGGCCTTTTCAAACATCCTGCAGATGTAGAGCATTTGTTTTGAGTCATGAGTCTGGCTACTTGAGGAATGCCAAAAGTCACTTCATTTTTAGCCCATTTTTTGGTTAGCGTTCATTGGTTATCCGCTGATGCATTGGTGAAAGCTGTAAATAAAGACAGTTGAAGCAGAGCTTACAGAAGGAACTCAGATTTGGTTGTACATCTGTCAGCTCTTGAATAAAAGGGCAAAGCTTGGCTTGTATGAACTACAATAACACCCCGATAATGAGGAAGCAACATAGATGAGCTAGGTGGTTTTTGTGGCATGTACATTGAAATGTTCTGAAAAAGATCAAAACAAAAGAAAGATCTCTAGCTAGGTAGTGCTAAAACACAGGAAGTGATATGAACATTTTTGCAGAAGTAACCACCACTTGTCCTCAAAGGGAAACTCACAAAGCTGCAGAAAATGCTACCACAGACACATCAAAGAAAGACACCTAACGTGACATGTGTCTGTGCACACAGCTTTCATCTGTTCTGGATTATTATGGATCTGTCAGATTGAAATAAATATTGAAAAAATAAGTCTTCCTGCAGCTGCATAAAAAGGTTAAACACATTTTATACATCTTATTGTAACAGTATTCTTATGAATGCTAGAAGGGGTTTAGGAGGATGCTGTTGGAGATCCGTGTGGACAGCCGTCCTTGGATAGCCATGACCGGACCAGAGGGTTGAGATGCCTCTCGGGGATAACATGTCCCCAAGGTCACATCTTGACCCGAATGGCTCCGATGACACTGCATTGCATTACAATAACCCTCAATGGCCTTGAAGCAGCGCACCCTATTTAGGGATCTGAGAGAGCACTAAAAAAGGGAATTTCTACCATTCCCGAGTCTGTGTCTGTTTGCCTACAGATTTTGCCTGCAAGGCAACAGACCATGGTAAAGTTCCAACATTTATGTTTACGACACCAAGTGAACCAGCAGAAAACAATCAATCCAACATTATAAATCAATCACATTTTATTTATTTAGCTCAATATATCAAAT